CAGGGTGATATGGCTGCTGGCTTTTATTTATTTTAGTAGTGTCTGGGGTGTGCCATGTTTTTTCCATTTAGTTACAATCACTTCACAGTGCTCCTAGGAAGGTCAAAAGCTTTGCCAATCTTTTTATAACCTTCTCCAGCTTTTTTCCTCCTAACAACTTCATCTTGAAGTTCCACAGGCAGCTTCTTGGACTTCATGACAGCAGGACTGATCTGATCTGCTGTTTAAGTTGTGAGGCCTCAGACAGTGATATTTATTATGCAATCAAGCAATTGAACACAGGTGGATTCGAAATGAACACAGGTGTACCTTGTTAACGTATTTAGTGTGATCTCACAAGATAATTGAATACCTCACCCAATTTATGTCGTTAAAACAAAGGGGGTGAATACTTACCAAGTAATTTTCAGATTTTAATTGTTAATATAATTCTGAAGACATCTAAATACTTTATTTCATTTTAACATTATAGTGATTTACTATACTTCTACAGGAGTGGAAAAAATCCCATTTAAATATGCTTTAATTTGACTTTGCGACACAGCAAAACGAGAATTAATCAATGGGGGTGAATACTTTCTGAAGACACTGTAGCTTGAACTATTTATATAGAAACCTTACCACAAAATCTAATAAATGTTGCATCATGTCACTTGCTGAATTAAAGAAGATTTCTGTGTCCAGAGTAGTGCTAGAGGCATCAACACTGATGTAATACTGAAAAACATAAAATAGAAATTATATTTGAGAAGCCCAGAGTGTATCCGTACTGCGCAGTTTGGGTTGTGGATCAGGCAAGGCCTAATGTACAATTGCTAATAATGTTAATGTACATTTTTATACAATAGAGGCATAGTTTTGGGAAACAGTATTACTCCCATTTAGGTAGTGCTCATTTTAGTTTGGCAGAATTATACTAATACAGTTTCCTAACTTGGATCAGCTTTAAAAAAGCTCAGTGACTAAATTTGCACATGTTTCAGAAAGTGCTTGTTTTCCTGTCTTTCCTGGAGTTTATGGAGTAAAGAAACTAGATGCATCCCTTCGTGTAAAAAATAATTACAGGAATTTTTCGTTGCTTTTGCTTCTTTGGAACCTGTATGTTTGCAAAATGAAGCCAAATTATTTTTGTTACTAATACTAATTAGGAAGCAATAGTAGAGGTATTAAGCTATAAAATGCTAAAACGTCTTACCAG